TGGATTCAATCATGTTATGCGCGAAATGTGAAAATTAAACTTTAAAAAAACATTGGATATATTTTAAGTAAAGAAAAAAAAATGTTATGGAGTTGTCTTAGATTCCATATTCAGTTGATATGCACGCCTTCAAACGTTCAGGAAATTGATTAGTATATCCAGTCTAATTTTCTTCTCCAATTTGATTTTTAATGTCACATAAAATACCTAAATAACAATGAAACTTTTACATTTCTGATTAATAATTAATATTTTTACTGATACTTCCATTAAATATTTGAATATATCCCCACTAATAACATTACAAAATAAAAGGAACTTAAAATAAAAAATGTCTATATTATTAAACATTGCATTGATTTATGGATAAGTGTTTTAATACTGTACTATACTTCTTCTTCTTCTTCTTCTTAGGCGTTTACAGGCCATTCAGGCCCATTGCCGCAACAACCACTTGCCTCCACCTGTCTCGGTCTCTTGCCAGCTCTTCCCCATCCTCTATTCCAAGTTCCCTCAAATCCTTGACCACTCTATCCTTCCATCTTTGTCTAGGACGTCCTCTAGGCCTTTTTGTATTTGGCTTCCATTTCGTAACCTGTCCAATTGGCCCCTCCGATCTCCACGCGTGACCGGCCCAGCTCAGCCTACTACTTTTTAAAATTCCGTTAATATTCGGTTCTCCGTACAGGTCTTGGATCTCCTGATTTGTTCTTATTTTGTATTCTCCTTCGTTATTTTTTTTCGGACCATAGATTCTCCTTAATATCTTCCGCTCGAAGGTGGCCAATTTTTGTTCATCCGATTTTGTAGTGGCCCACGTCCCACATGCATACAAAGCTATAGGTCTTACTAGTACTTTATAAAGGGTTATTTTTGTCTTCCATGATAATATCTTTGATTTAAATAGAGGGACCAATCCAAAATAACATCTGTTTGCCGCTGCTAATCTAATTTTTATTTCCTCGTGGCTATTTGCATCCTTGTTGATGTCCACTCCTAGGTATTTAAAATCATCTACTTTTTCGAACTTATATTCCCCAATATCCAGGTGTCCCCCTCTATGGTTATTCCTAGTTACGACCATATATTTTGTCTTATCCTCATTTATAATTAAACCTATTTTCTTTCCGTTTTCCAGCAGATTTCGTGTTGTCCCCTTTAGATTTTCTTCATTTTCTGCCATTATCACTAAATCATCAGCATAGGCAGCTAGAATTAGTTGTTTGTCAAATCCAATTTTAATTCCACTTGCAGTTACTAGGGTATCTCTTACGACTGATTCCAATGCTAAATTGAAAAGAGCTGGGGACAAGGCATCACCTTGTCTAAGCCCTGTCACCACCTCAAAATCCTCCGATACGGCATCTCCGAACTTCACTTTACACTTTGATCCTTGTACACAAGCACGGACTAGTCTTACAAACTTTTCAGGTATACCCAATTGGCACATAGCGCTCCATAGTTTCTCTCTATTCACCATATCATATGCGGCCTTAAAATCAATAAAAAGGAGGTGTATATCTTTGTCAAATTCATGGCTTTTTTCGATCATTTGCTTAATAACATGTATTTGATCCTGGGTTGACTTCCCTGTCATAAACCCTCCCTGGTAATCTCCAATAATTTCTCGTAAATAGGGTTTGATTCTAGTAAGTAGAATATTAGACAGTATCTTATATGAAGTGTTCAAAAGGGAGATTCCCCTATAATTTTTGCAATTCATGGGGTCTCCCTTTTTAAGAATAGGACATAAAACAGATGTACGCCACGATCTTGGTATTTCTTCATGTTCCCAAACTTTAGTAATTAAGTTATGCAGCTGGTTTATTAGTTGTTGTCCTCCCTTTTTAAGGCATTCAGAAATTATCTCATCTTCTCCCGCTGCCTTACCGCTTTTGAGCATTTCAATACCAGCTTCTACCTCTGCTCTTGATGGTGGTTCTATGTTTTGTTCTACTGTTGCACGTTCTTCTATAATTGTCCTTTCACTAGGTTGGTTTAAAAGTGTGTTAAACATTTTTTTGAACTCATCTGCTATTTTTCCGTTATCGGTCAATAACGATCCATTTTCTCCTCTAACCATTGATGTTTTACGTTTAAACCCGTGTTTAACTTCATTCGCTTTCCCAAAGAAGATTCGAGCATTATTCTTTCTACTACTTTCTATGAGTTGTACTCTTTCTTTTTCCCATGCTCTCTTGTTCATCCTAATTGTCCTCTTTACCTCTCTCTGTTTCATGGCTAATTCTCTTTTATTTTCTTCTTTTGGGTCCTGTAGCACTTTTAATCTCGCTTTATCCCTTTCTTCCGTGGTCTTTCTACACATTTCATTGAACCAGTGTTCGTTCCTTCTCTGTGGTTCGTAACCCAATACTTCTTCTGAGGTTCTTTTAACCGCTTTTTCTATTCTTCCCCATAATTCTTCTATATTTGCTTCATGTTCAGCGCTTGAAAGGTATTTGTTCAATTTTCCCTGATATTCCTTTGCTTGGTTTCCATTTAGTAGCTCTCTGTTAATTTTTTTGATACTCTGTTTCTTCTGCCAATTCACTGAAATTTTTAGTTTGTACCTTGCCTTTACCAGGAAGTGATCCGATATCGCACTACAACCCCTCATACTTCTTACATCTTCAACGCTTGATCTTATTCTCCTGTCAACAACTATGTGATCTATTTGGTTTCTTATCCTTCCACAGGGTGATATCCAGGTCTGTTTATGGATGTTTTTGTGCGGAAACATTGTACTGCTTATGACCATGTTTCTTGCTGCTGCAAATGAAATCAATTTGTTTCCATTTTCATTGGACTCACTATGCAAACTGTTTATTCCAATAGTTGGTCTGTATATCCTTTCTCTTCCGACTTTCGCATTGAAGTCACCAATGATAATTTTTGGCTTCCCCGAAGATAGCCCATCA